ACTTCAGACTTCTATCATCAGAAGACGAATCTGGTCATTAAAAATACCCTGTTTCTGACACATTCACTGATATTAAGAAATAGTTTGATTTTTGCTGGTAAGTAATTACAGTGGACTCTGTCAATACCGGCCTCTCTTAACACCGGCACTCTGTGTACATCGGCACAAAGTTTCAGTCCCGGCAGAAATGCACGTTATTATCATTAAGAAACTTCTGTAAACATCGGCATCTGTCTATTCAGGATATCGGCATTGTTTTTCAGTCCCAACGAACAAGTTGTTATGAAAACGAATCTGTAAAAACCGGCACATGAAAGACGGCGTAACCCTTTGATGCAATTAGGTCCAAATGATGTAACAACACAATTCGCTGTGACTCCCGAGATTATTCAGAAACGGGAAGTGTTAATCAGTATCCCGTTAATCAGTGAGTGGTACGTAACACTTACCCAGAGTAATTAATACATGTAGTGGGCAGTTTGACTGTATAAACAAGCAAGTGCTTACATTTTGTTGATTCGCTGGTATTGACTCCCGAGATTATTCAGAAACGGGAAGTATCAATCAGTTTCTTGTTAATTAGTGAGTGGCACGTGTCACTTACATAGAGGCGAATCGTTTGATGGCGTGTATCGTTCGAAAGCTCTGAACATCAACAATATCACTGTACTCTTGCCGAGAGTATTTTCACATTTGTAAGAAGCGATTTTATTGGATAAAGATTGGTTTCTAACGACGCTTTTTCACTACACTTTGCTTATAAGGGTCGTGATTGGTCAAAATCAGACACGTGACCTAAGCAGCCAATCATATTATGGAAATGGATACCGTCCTCGTAAACGAAAAGTTTTAGATTAAGACGAAAGTTTTTGGGTAAAATAATGCTATTCTGAACATATTAAGAAAGACATCGCTACCTATACGTAAATCATGGAACGTATTGGACATATCGTGCTAGGTTATGGCCTATGACAAAAATGCTTCACGCATATATTTTCACATTAAGCATCGTGTGAAAGCCGAGATGTAACTTGTCAGTGACTTGACTTACATTGCATGAACGCTCAAAAGAATGGAAATACAGTAGTAATTTTATATGTACGTTTGACAACTAGACTCATCTTGATCTCTGATCTCCAATGGATCTGAGTTTTTACAAATCTCGCTTTAAAGTTTCAGTTGAGAAAGTTTTGCGTTCATGTCAAACGAGGGTAGTGGTTGTTTTCCGTGCCTAAACCCCTTTCAACATATTTTAACTACATTTCGCCATATGTTTTTCTCATCAAATTAACTTGTGGATCTTGCTAATTTTAACATTTTTGTCTATTCATTTTATTTGGGTTTTTTATTTGGGCTTTGTTTCCGTAATTAAACACATTTCAACATGGTCAACGTTACCTGACATATAAACGCATGACTCATCAGCTTAACTGGTGCCTTGTGCTATTCAGAAATATTTGTTCATTTATTATGTTCCATGAAGTATGGACTTAGTCTCAAACACGTCTCGGCTTCAGGACCGAGCCAAGACTCTGAAACTATACATAGCCACACACTGAGCAACTTTAATTAACTGGTGCAAAATATGTCAGCGATTTCCATACCATATGAATTTTGCAGTGAAAAGAAAGGGTTGAGGAGAAAGATAGCCAAGATGACCATGGCATAATCTAGTTCATTTGAAGATAATAATGTGTCCATTTATATAGCGCCAAACTCCACACTAGGTATGCTCATAGCGCTAACAATCAAGGCCAATTATTACCAATTAAGATGGTGCAGATTTGAGAAAGCGCGTCATTTCATATAAAAACATTATGTATTCACTTTTCTTGCACACACTAACTGTCAGTACCGTGCACGCATCTTCTTCGAGGAAATAAAGAATAATGTCTTGATAAACATAGAGATTTTTCTGGGTTACATCTTCTTTTTATTCTTTTGCACGAGGTACACGTGTGGACAGGTGGGTCTCAAGACGGCAAATAATGATGGTCGGTTGGATTGAAAGTCAAAAGAAGATGTAACCCAGAAAAATCTCTATGTTCATCAAATATCATCTTCTAAAATGCCAATCAAGCATGTAATGTCTTGATAGTCCAAATATTGAATTTCCATCAGTATATTGTGTAACCTCCCTGCACACGAACAAATAATTCAAGATGCCTCATTCCTTGGATCAATTTTCGGATTTGATACTAAGAAATCATGTTCCATTCCTCGTGCAAAGCAACAGTCAATTTATTGAGCGTGTGGACAGGTGGGTCTCACGACGGCAAATAATGATGGTCGGTTAGATTGAAATCTGGACTCGTGGTGACAGCACGTGCTCTGTGAGACCTAGCATTGTCATTCATAGATGGGTCTCGTGGCTAGAAGATGGTTATCAAAATGTGGGACAGCCCTGTCAAGGCCCATAAGGTTACCACGAATGGTAACAAGGTCAATCTTGCAACCCTAGGAAATGCATCCCCATACCATGATTGGCCCTCCTCTAAAGGAAACTGTCTCCTGGATAATGCACGCAATCATAACGTTGTCTCATACACGAGTATGGCCATTCACCATATGCAATGAAAAATTACTCTCATCGGAAAAGTGAACCCTCCGCCATAATGTAATGTTCCAGCAAACACGTTGATTACAGCGGGCAATTCTAGCTGCATTGTGAGCAGCTTTATATGCTCGATGGGTCTTCTGACTATGTATCCTGCTGCTCTCAGTCGATTCCTGACGGCCGTTAACGATGTTTTTGAGTCCCATGAACGGCGCCCAACACGTCCCAGCATTGACCTACCCTCTCTTGTTGTTGTCTGCCAGGTCTATGAAGATCATTACATGTTTGGTAGCCCTGTGTTTGTTTAAGAGTCTTGAAATGGCGGAAGTATTGCGATCAACCTGATGTCCAATCTGTCTGAGGGATATTCCTGGATTTCTCATGCCAATAATTTGCCACATTGTAGCCTCAGACATTGTACGACGTTCCATGACAATTGTGGTGCTGTATATTCAATCATTATTTTTAAATATTACTTTTTATAATTTCTTTGTTTCCATTGACACAATTTGGACTCAGTGTCAGACAGGTAGCATTTCTTTCCAACCAAAAATGGATTAGGCCATTATATTTCCAGGCAACACTTTAACTATTTAGAAACAATTTCGACCTAGTGTAAAAAAATAGCATTATTTCCTGCGACAACACTACTAATAGATATTTATGCATGAGACTATAATTTCCAGGCTATAATTTGATTCTAATATTATTTCTGCAAATTTGCAAACACATTAATAATAATAACTAATGTGGTGAAAATGGTTGCGGGGAGACAGATGTTTCTATAAGTAAAAATACATTCTAGTTGATGCTGATGTCACGTATTGTTGTGGCTGTATTTGTCACGATGTCGGACTTTTTTCTACATCATACGAGGAGGAGAGCCACGTCACCCTTTGTCATGTACACCAGGTACACACACGAGCACATACGCGCGCATAGTTGAGACAAAGAAGTGTCTGTATGATGAGACCTTCTATATACATGTATATAATTGTGTGTGGAAATGTAATGATACTACGGCCATTGAATATATCACAGCAACTCATTTACTCAATGTATCATCATCTTCGTGGTTATTGAAGCTGTCGGTCCCATTTATCCAAAAGCCATCGTAGTATATACAAATATGGTTCATGTAGTTTTGGTTGGATTACGATCGTTGAGAGAGGTATATTTTCTTTAAGCTTATCTTGTCTTTATTTCTAGAATCATTTCAAAGTGATGAGTTTTCTGTGGCATTAACAGGTGAGAATCCAATTCTATGTTTGGTAACCAAGAACTGGAATTATTTATCTGGCAGGAGGCTGAGGATCATGTAAGGATTTTGAAAATGACTAATTTATAATTCTGATATATAGGGATAGTGTCTACCAAATGTCTGTTATATTACCAATAATAGCTTATTTTGTATGTTTGTCATTCCAGGTGTGTCTGAGGATATTTAAATTTTTAGGACATTGTCGCTGATTCAATCAGAATAAAACTATTTTCACATATTTTTCATAGGTATTTAAAATTTCTTTTTCATGACCAGAACAAAATATTACATCTTCGTAACAAGGAAAATGAATACACAATTTCAGTTTCATTACTCATATAATATGGGCATGGTTCTAACACCAGGGTCACTGGGACTCACAGGATGATGTACCTTTTAAAAAGTCGCTCATAAGTTCCTTTCCCTTGCCTCATCGACTAAAGCAAAATGTATTGGCTATGTCTGGTCAAGGAGAAACCACTCCACAAGACAATGTTGAATCTTTGCCTGGACTCTGTGTGCATCCAAAATATTTTCTCAATGTTCCCTGAACTATTTGGATTCCAAACCATCATGTTTGAATATTTACTTTTTGTCACATTATACCTCAAAATACTTTCACTCGACACTGCTCAACATGAAAAGAGACATAAAAGATGGTGTGGTGGTCCTGTACACAGAGCGCAGGTCACGAATCAGTTGCAGTTAAGCAACCTCGAGCTCGGACAGTCCTTGGAAGGGTGACCGTGTTTGGCAGGTTCACTCCTGAGAGTTTCTACGACTTCTGTCCATAACGAAGCACATGTGATACATGTGATCTCACCTTAGGCAAGTGAGTTTGTTCAAAATTGCCTCTGTTCACCCAGCAGAAGATGGGTACCCGGTTGGATAAAGTCATGTGACTGCCTAGCAGGCAGCTTGGGTAATCCGGGATAATAATAATCAGGGTGTTAGCGCTTTCACTATGCTTTGTTGCGTGGAGATTAGCACATTATAAGACGTCTCATTATTATTATTATTATTATTATTATTATAAAAGCACATTTCGAAATGTCAGAAATCTTGCTTTGGTGTCATGATCAGTGGAAACAGTTCCATTATGTTGCAAGTGGATAAGATAATAAGCCATAACAAAAAGCCCACTATGACATTAGGCCATGTGTCGTAAAAAGAAAACAAAAACAAGTTTCAAGATTTAATATTGATATTCAGAACAACTGAGATTGACCAGACTGTGATGATACCACAAACACATAATACACAGAACATTATGTAGCCAAATTATTACACTGACATAACCAGAACAATCAAAGGAACACCTACCATAACATTCAAAATGATAATGTTTGATGATTCAGCCCTTGTTTATCATTACTGAAATTCTCAATGTATCTCCCTGAACTTCTCTATATAAGGAACAAAGACGAGCTTTGACAAAATTATAACTGCAAATTTTCATGCAATTCAGGTTTGATGTCATAGACTATTTCCAACAGACGTCTCAAAGCAGCTTCACTGTTGCGCTTGACACTCTCATTGAGCTCAGAGATCTTCTGGCGTGTGTTCTCTTCAATCTTGGTTTCCATATCACCACGGGATCCTAGGACCTGAAATGAAAACATTACTTCTGTCACTCTAATTCTTTTGGGAATTTAATGGTAATTCCATCTACATTGTATACTTACATAAATCAGAAATCAAAAACTACCAAAAGGCACCAGTTCACCAAAATACCTATCTATGTGCCAGGTTTTCTGAAGAAATATTGAGCTGTTTTTATGTTCTGTTCCGGTAATGACAAATTGGCACGGACGGATAGACGGGCGGACAGAGTCCATGTTAATACGCCCTTCCCCCATGTGTTCAGAAGATGATCCTTAAAAATATAATGTGGTTAAACAACCCTGTCTAGGTTGTAAGCAATATATAGTTGTCCATTCAGATTGTCTCTGATTTTCACAAGCTCAGATTTACAGTAAGGTGAGGGACACCCCCACACCATCAGTGAGTGCCCTCCTAATAGTTTCAATGACTTTCCAAATTAATTTGATTTAGGATTATTTAGATAAATCAGTTTATGGTCAGCACCGGGCAGCAACTACCAGCAACTATACCGTAAGTTTTGTTTACAAACACTTTCCTGCCTCATTATCCCGTCAAACAATAGTACTCCCCCCATAGCAACCATACGTCACTTGTTCCCATGACGTCACTAACTACTGCGGTCATGACGTCATATATAACATATGTTCTATTTGGGATTACACTTTCTTAGTGAAGTACAGATTCTAATACTTTTTGGGGTTGAGTCCCATTCCGGATTCGAACCCACACCCGCAAGTGAGGCACCTAATCGCCAGCACACAAAGTCAGACGCCTAGACCGTTCAGCCACCGCAATTAGGTGCCTGACTCTGAGGGTGTGGGTTCGAATCCTGGATGGGACTCAAACCAAAAAAGTTCTAGAATGTGTACTTTACTAAGAAAGTGTAAATCCCAAACATAACATATGTTACATTTCACGTCATATATATCATAATCAACAATCACATCATTCTGCTGCTTCACGACAACGCAGGCGCACATATGGCAAGGTTTATTGTGTTCAGAAGATGGTCATTAAAGATAAAATGTGGTACAACAACCCTGTCTAGGTTGTCAGTGATTTAATCATTATTGTCCATTCAGATTTTTTCTGATTTTCACAAGCTCAGATTACCAGTAATGTGAGGGACACCCCCACACTATCAGTGAGTCCCCTCCTAATGGTTTCAATGACTTTTCAAATTAACATCACATACACCATTCTCTTCCCACACAGGTTACTTGTCACAGCTTCCTATGAACCTCTGTTCTAATACGGCCCTTTCATGGTGCGAGTGTTCAGGATTCGTGACTTGTTGCAATCAGATTTAGTTGTACAATCAGCGACGTTTCAAAAGTGATCATTCGCAAGGCCTCGGTAATTTCCGTATGCTTCGGGAAAACTAGAACCTCCTCCCCCGCGCGATGCACAAACATTTCTTTTAGACAGAACTCAGTCATGTAATGGCGGATCAATGGCGTCTCCATCGCCTCTCGTTGACAATGGACAAGCTAGCCATTAATGTCTTGTGTGTCACTTCAACACAAGTCCCCGGCAGAGGAGGGATATTTGTGGCCAACCTTTGCTTGTATTAGTCAAGTTGGATCTCAGTCGATGTAAAACGTGTTCTGATTGGATAGAAAGAAGGGAGATAATTCGTGTTGCGATTTTTTGCCGCTAGGGGATTTTATGCAAACCGGGAAATATGGCCGTATTAGAACAGAGGTTCCTAGGAAGATATGACAAGTAACCTCTGTGGGAAGAGAATACACATATACAGTCATCCCTTGCAATAACTCTCTTCGCGACTTTTGGTTAAACTGCCGGGTAATCTGTGGCTCCCATACCAAAAGTTGCCCCGCAATCACACATCTTCACGCTGCCGGAAATAGCATATAACAAAATCCCCTGTTGTGCTCAGATTAATCATGTTGCAAACAAGCTAAATTCAGTGCGGATCGCAATAAACAGTGTTAATCATACATACCCTTGTACTATGGGTTTTCAGATGCTTAATTACATTCAGGGTTTTCTTGAATAATCAAACAAACAACGGAACATTGTTATAACTTATAAAAGACAACTTTATAATAAAAACATGCCATCAGCTGAGTACTTATGTGTGCTGTGATGCCACACGTGTTATAGAGTGGGTAAACAGCGCCATCCGAAAACGTATGTCAGAAAATACATAATAAAACGATTTTCATCAATTTCATTGCATATGATTTAATTTAATTCCATTTCGATTCATTGGAACTGTTTATAGCTACATCGGAGAAAATGTGTGTGAAACGGTATCGCCTCATTCGATCGCTTACAACTTCTGCTTTCCATGTTCGTGAGGGTCCGCTTTTTGCGCCTCGTTATCCATTGGAACCCGAGACCGGGTTATTGACTCACTGAAGTCATACTTGACAATTAATTGTCAACATTTTGTTTTTCTCATGTGTAAAATGTATCCAACCATGTAACCCGAAGTACTGAGCCTATGTTAACTTTATGTTAAATATGTTCGTAGAAAACATGCATAATACTAATACCACAGCGATATATATTATCTCTGTTACAATAACTGCTTTAGATTAGAAATTCTTTGATGTTATATCTTGTGATCATTTTTAACCGACTCACCGGACTGGAGCAAAACGGGTACACAGGCGATTGCTATTTCCAACATAGTTGAAAACAGGTAGCATAACAGGAACAACAATTGAATTATCATGTCCAGTGATGTTTGATTGCAAGTTTCCTATACATATATCCAGTGTATGAAATAAGCCAAACATCCAGCCAGACATCAGGGCTGGTAACTTCAAAATGTTACCTACCCAAAATGGATTTAACCAGACCAAATATGGTGAACTTACTCAGATGTATTGAACATCTAAAAATTTTACCGGACCATTGGACTGGCTAGCTGTAAATTTAGACCGTCCGTCAGAAATCTAGACCGTCTTGGGCGGTCGGACAGGCCTTTATTTCATACACTGATATATCTATTTTCATTTACAAAGTTTGTTTTTTCACCTCTGACTATATGACATAGTTTTGACTGGGTACAATACACGAAATAGCAGTCTGCTATGTCCATGGAAAATACAGTTTTTCTTGGCCTTTATTCCTTGTTATGTATGACTTGGGGGTCACCCACGGACCCCAAGGCCTGTATTATGGCGAGGGATGACTGTACTTAAATATTGGGTTCCTCCACAAAGATCTGTTCTGGAAACCTAATGTGATAGATGCCCAGAATGATGAACAGACATTTCTTTAAACCCCCTCATCACATACTCACAAATATCAAAAGCCAGCAACTGTAGAACATATAATGGAAAGATGACAACAAGTATAAACTGACCATAAAAAGACCAGTTGTCACTATAAATACATGCACAAAAAGTAACAAACCTTGGCTTCATACTCTTTGTACTGTCTCTCTCTATCCCCCTTGTATGCATTGATCTCTCCATCAGCCTCCTTCTTTGCTTGTTTTAAACGGTTGGCTTTCCCTAAAAGACAATGTAATGGTTATTTAGGTTTATTCAGCCACAGCAACTTCCACTGAGTGGGTTAGGCGGCTGACTTTGCGTGCTCGCAAGTAGGTGCCTGACTCTGACGGTGTGGGTTCGAATCATGCATCAGACCTAAACCAACAAAAAGTACTAGAACCTCTACTTTACTAAGAAAGTGTAATCCCAAATATATATGTTACATTTGACCACTTTCTAAATGGAAATGTATAATCTGACCATTTACTGGCAGCAACGACTAGGTAGTCATATATCAGCCACTTACATTACCTTGTTCAAGGAATGTACCTGTCAGTATCCACATAAAGGAACAATATCCCATTCATCTGCAGATGACAAAGAAACCAGTTCCATGTCAGGGATCTTTCAAATATCTTAAGGTTAATATTTGAAGAAAGACAGTTTTACACAGGCACTTTATGACAGGATATGGGTGTACAGTCATGCCCTGTTTATCCGAACCTCAGATATCTGGAAAACTTGCCTTCCGAACGAAAAGTCCTTTTAAAACAAATTCATAACGTTGTAAAATTACTCACTTATCCGGAAATCCGGTTTCCGTAGCCGGACTGTCTTATCAATAAAGATTACATCTGAGGCCTTTTATGTTCGTTTCTTTGTATGTCCAGAGCTCTAGATAAGCTTTTTCCAATCTGGGTATTTTACCCATGGTGTCTGTTATAAATGGGTACCACTGATCTTCAGTGGGTACTCAAATTTTTCAATACCCACCTTGTTTTTAAAAAGTTGGGTATTTTCTATGTCAGTAATTTAAACATGTTAAAAAAGATAACCATAGCTAACTGTTTGTACTTCAGACATTAACCTGGTCATTGTTTAAAGAGAAACAAAAAAATGTGAAGTTTTAAGTTACTTTATTATTTGACTTGTGCAGTGACCACATTGAAAAGCAAACATGTTGGCATGATAATCTACCCGGTCTCGTAACATTTGACAGTTAGCTACTTTCTGTTACGCATTTGTTTTTTACCGGTAAGTCAGGGTACGCAATTCATCATAAACCAAGACGTTTCTGTAATTTCCTTTGCGTATTTGGGACGCTACAGATATATTTCAGTGCGTATTTAGGAAATTTCAAGGAGTATTTTACGTAGATACGCAGCTTATCTAGACTTCTGATGTCTTTTTACATATGGTCCTTGGTTGAGATATCCGGAAATTCGTTTATCCAGACAATTTCAAGAAAAACACAAGTGTCTGAGATAAACGGGGCACGACCGTATTCAGTATGTGTTAATAAATGTACATACATAAACACTAATATTGATCTATCAGTATAACATGATTAAAAATCGAGGTAAAAACACAGAAATAGGAACATGTTGGATCAGTCATCATACCATCCACCATTAGGAAATCCGAAAGAGCTTACACTGCTGGGATACTTTATTACAATCAGACAAGAACTACTGGGGATATTTCTAAATAACGGCATCTGATGGGAATACATTGTTCTTATTGTCTGATTGTTTAGGTGGAAGATATTCATTAACACGCCGTCCTTTGGTATATGTCCACTGTCGTTACAGAGAGCACCCCAGTCTCCAGTTACAATCAGATGCATCTGACAACTAATTTTAAAGTCGTCTCAAGGCAGCTAATGAGAAAACAGAGCTGGCCTTGTTAGAATGCCGGGTTGAAGCCATAGATCAACACCTCTTTAATCACATGATTACAGAAGTGAAAGCAAAGTACATGTTGTCTAGGTTCCTTTATAGAAACAAAATAAGTGTATTAGGAAACTTTGGTGTAACTGTAAGTGACCAGTGACTATAATATTGTATTTGAAATACCTTTAAAGTGCTACTTACAACACCTGCAGAGATAGGTTTTCTGCAATCAAACCTTTTTCAATGCGACGTAATTTTGAGTGATCATGCACAAACTTAAGTTAAATACAACCAAATACTTGGTATTTGCTTCTTGTGGTGATCATCTTAAATAACATCATCAATGGTGTCTACTGTTCACTTTCATAAGATTTGACAAATGCAATATGTTAATCAAAATGTCCTTGAGCTAGAGAGGACACACCTTGACAGTTATAGAGGTGAACTTGTCCACTGATGACCAGTTAATCATGGACCGCTCTGACATGTACTAATCGCCAAAACGCAGATGTTTCCAAATTGTAATATCGCAAATTAGCTGTTTCACACGAATACATAAATTCATCAAAATACTTTGAGTATCCATTGTTTTCGAATTGAATCGTTGCATCTGTTATAACATGATTATTGTCCAATCTAAAATTCAGTCTAGATCAACATTTAGTCCGTTGTGTAGTTACGAAATTGGCAGATCAGTTATCAAAAACGAAATATGTTGATCACTATCTCTTTGATCTACAGACACGAAACGTTGTACATCCGTGTACGTGCGAAGGTGAATTTGTATATTTACACTGATGACCAGTTGAACAAGCACATATGACTTCGACTAATTACAGATAGGTCTATATTATATGAAACTCTTTACCATTTAGGAGAAAATCACACAATGTATATGATATGTTCATTCTTACTTCGTCTAGCATCGGCAACTTTCTCAGCAGCACGTTTTTCGGCAGCAAGCAGTTGCTGAATTCCTTGCGTTTGACTCGCCATCTTGTCCTGTCTTTATCATGTGACACTACTGGCAATAATATATACGCGTCGTCATAGCTTGAATAAGCTATCCTCGGAGGTCCCTTCGGTTATTTTGCATTTGCATAACAAGGGAAATTAGGGGAGGTAACCACAGTGTTCATGATTACAACTACCAAACCAATGATGGTGTTACTTTTGCGCTTGCGGTATGAGAGGCATTTCGTGTAGTACTGTTAAAGACCGAACTCAGTATTGCACTTGTCCGCGAAAGTGGGACTGAAAAGTTAAAACAACCATTTAATTCAACAGTCACCCCATACTCCATATCGCAACTTCATATGGCAAGAGAGGGTGAAACGAAATGGCGATAAATAAACACACATCTTTCCAGGAATTATGACAGTGCATACAGTATCAAAATATATGGTCTTTTTGGTTTCTCTAAAGTTAATTACCGAATTATGTTGAATAAACAGTTATACATTAGATAATTATTACTGAATAAACAAAGTTCTTCAGAACTGTAGTCCTGCTTGCGATGATGATGATGTGGAGATTTAACGTGCGCTTTCCGACATGATGCCTATTTCGTACACGGAACCTGCCTACGGTCCCAGATTGAATAAATAGCTTATAAACCGAGGTGCTCACGTGTTGTGACCACCCAAAGGCGGATATTTCACAGTGTATGATCTCATACAGTGCAAACCGGGCATAGTGCGCTCTACGTTCGTGCTTTGGTTGATAGAAATGTTGTCAAGGGCTCCTTTTTTCTGGTATTGTGCGTATAGTTCAAGTGCTAAAATAAGCGAAATACTTCTTCTTACTCTTATTAAACTATAGTTCACTGCCAATTTGAATAATGACCTTCTAAAGTCTTTCAAATATAAAATGCGCATCGCCGATTTTGCTCCTTCGCAGGAAACATCGAAAATATAGCCACAATATTCCTTAATTTCGCAATTTCTTGGTAAAACTTGTCAACATATGAAATATCTGATAAATAAGCTTTCAAATGGTGTATAATATTCCTAACATAGAGTGAGTATTCGTTTCTTTACACGAGAGTTAAACGTTACCATCCTATGCATCATTACTGTACAAGGTGATTGCACTTGCAAAAAGTCATACTAAAACGTGTTCTCTCGATCCTTGTCCAACATGGCTTATCAAAAACAGCCCACAGGCCTTCATACCAACTATTACATCCATAGTGAACCAGTCACTAAGTCAATGCCAGGTATCATTGTCACTGAAGGGAGTACTAATAACACCTCTTTTAAAGAAGCCAACATTGGAACCAAATGTCTTTAAGAACTATGCGGCCAGTTTCAAATCTGCCATTCATTTCCAAATTGATAGACCAACTGAAACAACACCTCCTGGACAACAATCTTGGTGATATAATGCAGTCAGCATACAAAATAGGTCACAGCACAGAAACAGCTTTGCTGCGTGTGCAGAATGGCCTTCTGCGTGCTGTTGATTCCGAGGGAGCGGCAATTCGTGTCCTCTTGGATCTATCAACACCGTTTGACACAATAGACCATTCCACTCTCTTGGAAACTCTACAGTTACGTCTTGGAGTCACTGGCGATGTGTTATCACGGTTTCAATCGTATCTCACAGGACGCAAGCAATCAGTTATCATCCATGGGGTAAGGTCTGAGAGCAGAGAATTAAGGTTTGGAGTGCCACAAGGCTCAGTCCTAGGCACAATCCTGTTCACTGTATATACCATACCCGTTGGTGATATAGCCCGAGCCCACAATCTCAGCTATCATCTCTATGCTGATGACACTCAGCTATATCTCGGATTCAAGCCACAAACTGCATCTTCTGTACAGAATACCATACAGGCAATAACAAATTGCATAGCTGAGATCAAATGTTGGATGAACAGTAATTTTCTGAAATTGAACGATGACAAAACTGAGATTCTCATCATCAGCTCCAAACAGACAAAATCAAAGTTCAAGGTCCCTGGAGTTTAAATTGGAGACACGTTTGTTCAACGAGAAAGCCATGCTCGAAATCTAGGTGTCATCTTCGACTCATCATTAATCATGGGAAATCACGACAGTAACATCTGCAAATCTGCATATTTCCACCTAAGGAACATCAGACAGATTAGCAGGTACATGGACACACCTTCAGTAAATGATTTTTGACATCACGTCTAGACTACTGCAACAGTCTACTCTATGGAATACAGCAGAAGTACATGGACAAGGTACATCGTGTTCAAAACACAGCTGCCAGGCTCATAACACGCATACATATTTATGTGCACATAACACCAGTCCTGAAGGACTTACACTGGCTCCTTGTAAAAGACAGAATTGTATTCAAACTTCTTGTGTTTGTTTACAAGTCCATTAATGGGCTTTCTCTATTCTATTTCCAGGAACTAGTCAACATTCACAAGCCTGGAAGGTCACTCAGATCAGCTAGTCAGCAAAGCTTAGATGTTCCATCTGTCCGAACCACAACATACGGGGACAGAACATTTAGCAGAGCGGCCGCTGTACTCTGGAATGGATTACATGAAAATGTCAGAAAATCGGAAAATATCAACAGTTTCCGATCTTGTCTCAAAACCATCCTCTTCGAACAAGCATTCGACTAAGCGTACATGAGCAGGACTCTGGATATGTAGCGCTATACAAATGTCTAATTGATTTGATTTGATTTGAAGGTGATAGCCTCTAATTTAATACAGTTGGTTGATAGCTTTTCATAATAAATCACTGTACGGTTTCTAGTTAGTTCATGTTACCATTTCTAAGTAATTAAAGTTCTTAATTAAATATTCTGCTTTATTTTCTTAAGGTACTGCTGAATTCAACACCGGCTGACAAAATGAACACATGAGTTTGCTATTATTCTGATTTTCGGACAAATTCTTTCAACATTATCTAACATTATCATTGACGACTGCATTATCAATCACCCATCCAGTGAATTAAAATACAAATTCTAATATCATGACGACAGAACCCAAACTTCTTATCTATAATTATTTTTTTTTAAATATCAAAATTATACCAGAAGTATTAAGTACCTTGTACCTTGTAATGACAACAAAATAGGAATCATGAAGCATTCAAACAATGAAGTATTCAGTTCCCTCAAGAAAAAGTCTAAATGTGATGTGAAAGAGGATGTGTTTGGCCAGATGCAAGCCTTGTCAATGAATGATTTAACAGAGGAACTAGATTGGCATACAGAAACAGTTTCATCGCATGAAGCTGGCACTCAGATCTCACCGACAATGGTTATTCCTTGCATGTGAGAGTTTTGATGGAGGTTCTGTGCAAGAAATGATAAAATTGCTTCCACTTGTCTAACATAACTTAAAGGAAATCGGGCATGATGATATGTTTCTTAACTTCACACGATGTGTTGCTTCAAATTCATTTCTCTTGGCAATATTGCGTTCATGCAGTTTTCTGAAGTGGATTTTTTTTTCTGGTACGACATCTTAAGAGATCACTGAGGGCAGTTACGTCAGTACTAAATTTAGTAACACTCGTGCATCACTGTCTAGACAGCTGTGTGGAAAGTGCAAGGTTACTTAGTTGGTCATTCCGTCTGTCAGTAAAGATGCCTCCTAAGAAGAATCCTGTTGTTAAAAGGGCCAAGGGAGTTTCGTGGTATGATGAAGAGACTGATTATCTCCTGTCCATTTGGAATGAAAAAAATGTTGAGGAACAACTTGAAGATCCAGAAGGAATAAAGGAGCAATATATACAATGATGTCAGATGAGATGAAGATACGTGGATATGCACACACTCAAACGAAATTTCTGGGATTGTAAAAAGAACATGAAAACAAGTGGCAAGAGTCGAAAACTGTGCAAGTTTTATGATAAGCTGAACGAGATTTTGGGCCAAAGGCCAACAACATCACCTGTGAAGATGATAGAAAGTATGTGTCAGAGACAGCGTCTCCCTTTGTTAAGGACAACCAACAACTTGAATCGTTCTTTTTTGTTGTTTATTTATACTCAATATATTATTTATACTTTCATTGGAAAATGTCTGTTAACATGAACTGCTTCTGCCTCTGTAAATTTTTACGTAATACAATGTTTTCAGCCATTAACCATTGTGGACAGAAGTAACGGAGATGTTTATTCAGATGACAGTTATAACACAGATGAGATGGAGGTTGGTGGAAACAATGTTGATTTAGAAGAAAGGGACAGAGGCGACAGGGGCGGATACAGCTTTTTGAGAAAGGGGGTGGGGGTGGTGCACACTATTGAGAAAAGGGAGGGTGCACACTTCATTTTCACCCGAGTTTCAATGGTCATTTAATAAACTTTCAGTACAAGGGGGGGGACCCTGCAACCCCCCCCCCCCCCGAATCCGCCTGTGAGCGAACATCTCGATGCGATTGATGACAAGGACGATCAAGCCAAAGATGAGGATGATGATAAGGATGAAACAAAAGAAGATGGCAATTCAAACAAAAATCACACAGAGAGGAAAGCAGAGAAGTCAGATGACCAAGTCAAAAGAAGACCACGAAAATAGAATAAAGAAAACAAGACTGGAGACTGTTTTGGGAAGTACAGTGGAATCTGTCTTTTACGGACTGGCCTCGGACTCATGAGTCCGGATTGTAAAGCAGTCCGGATTAGACAACGTTTGTCCGTTACCGTGTCCACTGCCACGATGAGTTACCTCCCTTTGTTAAGGACAACCAACAACTTGAATCGTTCTTTTTTGTTTGTTATTTATACTCAGTATATTGTTGTATATTGTCATTAACCATTGTGAACAGAAGTAACGGAGGTGTTGATTCAACGATCAGCTACGTCCGGATCACAAAGCATTGTTCTCATAGCAAGTTGATTGTCGGGACTGTTATTTTAGTCTATAATCCGTAGTTGAGAGATTCCGGATTATAAAGCACACTTTAATGATAAATTAAGAACAATTTTGCCGTAACTCAGAGAGCAGTCCGGATTAGGAGAAAACCGGATTACACAAAGTTCGGATTTGACAGATTCCACTGTTTAATGAAAGAACACTCGGAATGTAACACAAAATTTGGAAATGCTATGACGTCATTAGAAGATAAGAAAATTGATGAAGAAATGAAGAAGCTAGAACTGGAGAACATAAAACTAGAAGTGGAAGAAAGACAAAAACGCGAGAAACGAGATCACCAGTTCCGTGTGATGCAAATGATCATTGGTCGAATGAACACTAGTCAACCAATGAGTCTCGGTCATCAACCGCCATCCATGCCTGGAACTTCCTGGAATCAACCAAGTCAGCCATACCAATCGTACTGTACACCAGATCGTCGATCATCTACTGAATAATCAGATGTCTCTTTTGATGATTCAGGAAATTCATTCTATCAACTTTAAATCCCTTCAACCTGTTTTGTACACATGTTTATTTTCATTTAACTCAGTGTACAAAGAGACACTCAGTAGAGACATTTATCATCAATGTTTATGTTTAGTCAGTTCTCAGATGTTATCAGATTTTGTTGATTTTGATTTATTTTAACATCTTAAATGTTATATTCAGACTTATTGTCATGATGATGATAAGGATGAAACAAAGGAAAGATGGCAATGCAAACAAAAATGACACAGAGAGGAAAGCAGAGAATTCCATTTTCTCCCACCTCATTTAGGCTCCTTTTCAATTTAATTCCAATTTTCAAACAAGATTATTTATTTTCAGAGACTGAGCGTAAGATAGTGAAAATGTCGCACTTGATTTTCGCGAACTCTGTTATTTATATTTCTATCCCCAAGGATAATGACAGTTAGAAAGTGACGTTATTACAATGATATATATGCTTTCTGCATATAGATATATTGTCATTATCGCATCAGGGGGAATCTAACAGGCAAAAGGCACAGTTATTATATTTAATATACCGTTTCCAGTTTGCGTCCTAATATCAGGTCCGATTAGGTTGTCTGCCGTTTTGATCAGATTCCCTGAGCATGCTCCAATGGCTTGGCCATTTTCTGATTATATTGTAATGAGAGAAGTCAAGCCGAGAGAAAGTACAAATTCCAGGAATAGCGAAAATATCTTGAAAGTAGCAAGTGGAATAGTGTGACTCTTGATACTAGTTTGCATGTAAGGCCGGGGAACTTAGCTGTTGCTCAGTCTACATTGCAGCAGAAACCGACACCCTACGGAGGTCCTCACAGACATACATCTGTAAGACGGCGTTGTTTGTTCGAGAGAGCCAAGATAATATTTTTTTTCAAGCCTGATATCGCCAAATATAGGAGAGTTAGACGTTGATATCACAAAGGAAATGAGCGTCATGAATGAAGACATGGCTCTTTTTCGCAGATTCCTGGTAATTGGTTCTGAAAGTCTGTATCGCGTTGGTTCAATGGACAAGACATGTCAAGAGACTGTGCCTGCCTGCCTGGAGCGCCTGCTGCAGTCCGGGCATGGCGAGGAGGTTGTCAGGGAAATTACCTCTCGTCAAACTGTTCCAAACTTGAGAAACACTCCTAGTCTTCTGGCACTTGCAGTGTGTGCAAGATCTGTTTGTGCACATACTAAAAAAGCAGCTTTTAATGCAGTAAACCAGGTTTGTGAAACACCAGTACAACTGTTCACCTTTATACAATATGCCAAAAATACGTCAGAAACCAGGAAAGGCTGGGGCAGAGCCCTGAGGAGAACTGTCAGTGATTGGTACAATAAAAAAGATGCTAAGACATTAGCAGACCTTACAACCAGGTTTAAATCATCTTCTGGATGGACACATCTTGATGTATTACGACTAAGTCACACAAAACCAGAAAATGCTGGTAAGTACAAGGGCAGTCTTTACCTATAAAATATGTAATGTGAAGCTTACACATAATATGTTGGGGTATTTATTTGATGAGGCAGATGTTAACAAATGTATGAATGACTCCTTTTAACATGGCAAAAGAATGTATTCTAAGATATCATAAACACATATGCACTATTACATTACTTAGGGATCCCCAGGACATTCCCTAGCATGAACAGACACAAAGAGATGTTTCTGATCCTTTCATGTTCAAGTCAGCACTTTAACAAATACCATAAAATTTCACTACAAAGTTAATACTCATGTCACAATACCTTATGGGGCTGTGGTGTAGCCTAGTGGTTAGAGCGTTCACTCGTCACGCCAAAGACCCGGGTTCAAATCCCTGCATTGGTACAAACTACAATGTGTGAAGCCCATTTCGCCTTGATATTGCTGAAATATTACTAAAAGCTGCGTAAAACTAAACTCATTATCTTACCCTATCCAATCATTCTTATCATTTTTGTTTTTTTCACATGGAGGTTTAAAGCTATCTGCTTCCTAGCTTTCATTTATCTGATGAAGGAGTAAGAATGTTGAGGTGTCCACCATTTTTATTTTATCCTAACCTATCACATCTTATCACATGACATTTCATGTTTTCACATGTACATATATACCTATCAGCTTTCTAGTTTTCATTTATCTGATGAAGGAGTAAGAATAAACTCCGAAATGTTGTGTTCCTTGTGTTGACATCCATATTTTCCCCCTTTTCAAGTATCACTTCAAAATGCCATTCAAAGACCTAATCAAACAGCATAATCTTTTTCAAAATTGTTGAAAAAGTATCTCCTAAACAGTGAAATTAACAAAATGTGCATGGAAGTAACGTTTTGAAATCTCACTTGCTTCTTCCGTTGAAGATATGGTAGAAGTGGAAAATATGTAAGCACAAGATTACATGAGACAAGTTTCATGTCTTCTGACCTATTTTGTACTTGTAGTTTTAAATACTGGAAATATAACATAAAATTCAAATGATTTAATAATAATAATAAGTCATCTTCTATAGTGCACAGTGTCCAAACACCAAGTGTTTGCTCGCGACGCTTAATCAGAATCTGATTCTTATTACCCCAGACAACCAAAGCTGCCTGTTTGTCGCAAGAAGGTTATAGTCGCATGACTATCCCACTGGGTACCCATTTTCTGCTGGGTGAAAAGAGGCAATTTTGAACAAACTCACTTGCCTAAGGTGAGACAACATGTATCACATGTGCTTCCTTGTGGGGCAGGACTGAAGTCCTAGAAACTCAGGAGTCAAGCTGCCAAACATGCTCACCCATCCAAGGACTGTCCGAGCTCGATGTTGCTTAAATTCAACTGATTCGTGACCTGAACTCTGTGCACAGGACCACACGCCACCACTTTGCTATTTAGTTTTGCAATTTGCATAGCTTTGCACCCCTACATTCAAATATACTGACCCACAATGAAAACGCATCACTGAGTTTGATGTGGAATGAAATGACAAAACCAAAGGTTTTGGATGCAAAATCATTTTCAGTTTATTTCATAGGTAATAAGCAATGATGAAGGTTTGGAAAGAAATGGATATCAACAACCGCCATTGGTACAGATAAGATCAAACAAGGCCACACCTCTAAACTCAGTCAGTATCTTGTGTGTCCTCCATTCTCCCTGATGCAGGCATTGAGACGATGGGGCAGAGAGTCACATTGCCGAACAATAAAAGCCATGGGAATGTTTCTCCATTGTTGGTGCAAGGCAGGTTCAATTCTGCGAGACTGCCTCCGCGGTGTAGTGGTTAGAGCATCCGCCTGGAGAGCGGAAGGTTGCGGGTTCGATCCCCGACCATGTCATACGAAAAGATGTTAAAATATGGTACTTGTTGGTCCCTGTCTGGCTCTCAGCATTAATGGGTACAAGAAGGACTGGTCAGCTTGGAGTCAGTATAATGTGTCTGAGTGGGGTATTCATGCTTCACTGCGGCGTGGTATCTCAGTGGGCTAGCACTATAAAACCAGCTTAAGTCTGGGCTAGTACAAGCAGCCGCACATACACATACACACGCCTGCACGTCGTCATATGAGCGAAATATTCTCAAGCACGACGTAAAACCCAATTTCACCTCACCTCACCTCAATTCTGCGACGTTGGCTGGCTGTGGCTGACGTCGATAAACACGTCTCCCCAGTTCATCCTAAAAATGCTCAATAAACTGGTTAGTCCATCACATTAATTGCAGCTGGCTGAATGAATGGTTGTTTCACCCTAGCAGCATGAGGAGGGGCGTTGTCATGTTGGAATGTTAACAGATGTAGAGGGCGTTGGTGATGGCGTAGCAAAGGAAAAACTACGGACATCAGAACTTCATCCACAAAATGCTGTGCAGTCAGATTACCTTGGATGACAAGCAGATCACTCCGGAAACGTGCGTTGATCAATATCTCCCCAACCATCACACTTCCACCACCAAGTCGATTTCTCTGTCTGGCACATGCATCAGCAAAACATTCCCCATGGCATCTGTAAACACGCTGCCTTCCATCCACAAATGACACACAATACCGTGACCCACCTGTGAAAGACGAGCCTACAGAAGAAAAGTGGTTGTTTTTGTGCATACTGCTGTATTGACGTCGTACTTGGCGTTGACAGGGGTTTAAGCACAGGGCCATGGTATGGACATCAACAGTTCAGTCTGGCTCATCTCAGGCGTCGAATAACTGTCGATTGGTGGATCCCTCTTCCATGATTGCCAATCGTTGCTGCTGCTGTCGTTGCCATTCTGAAGTGATCTCGTAAATGCGCCAGTCGCATCCTAGATCTTGTGTGGCCGTTGTAACTGGAAGTCGTCCAGGTTGAGGGCGGTCGGCAACACTCCCTGTCATCTGGTGACGACTGACAAGATGGCTTATGGTCGACTGGTTAACATTAGGCACCTAGCAACGACATTTTGTGAAGTGCCTCCTTCAAGGAGTGCCAGAGCGCATCCACATTGGTGAAGATTCAGTTGTGGCATGTTTTATAGCGGCTACTGAGCTCTCCAGTCCCGTCCATTGTGTGGGAAAGACCTCACATTTCAGGATTACATTGCTGTGTTTCACCTGATGATTCATATCAAACATTCAGTGCATCATTAATAATTCTCACTTAGTTTTAAAAAAAGAAGTCATGTGACTATTAACCTTCTAACGCCTCACAGGCAGCTTGTGTTATCCAGGGTAATAATAATCAGCTGGAAAATAGCACATAACAAATGCACTTATTAGGTCTTCAGACAAAAGTCTGGAAGACCTACTGTTATTATCCGAATATTCTTCTTATTATTATTATTTGTACAAATGTTGTGACAGCTCTCCTGACCTAACCGTGAAACTTTCAGGGGTGATAGCCTGTATGCTGAAATTGATACATAGTCGATAAAATCCCGAATTCCGGCTTCCGATAAGGGCAGATAACCCAAAATGTCAAAATCTTTACACCTCGATATCTCAAAAACTATAAGAGATAAATGGACCAAATTTTCACTCAATGTAGACAACACCATTCCCCGTCAATTCAACACATACCGGAAGTTGGCCGGCAGGTCAAATTTTGCGCTATTTTGAAAAAACTGATTTTTTTTGCCGATTTTCACGTTTTGACGGTGCCTGTGTTTGAAAATCTTCTTCTCCAGAACGGCATATAGTACAATCGTGTTCAATATATCATTTTAAGCCCACACTCTGGACTACTTAAACCCTTCAAGGCATATCGATATCTTGAATGGTTTAAGAGTTATCACCCTTGGAATTTGGTCAATTTTTCTAGGACGCAGTTTCATAGGGTTTAAAAAAAGGTCATAACTCTGCGAAAAATCAATGGATTCCATTTTCCTAAGTACCAACCTGTAGGTAATTGAATGGGAAACATTTTTGCTTCACACCATGGTTATGTAAAAATCAATAATTACGTCACCATTGCGACACAAAGTAGCGGATTCTTACAAAAGTTTGCACATTGGTTTTTAGTTTCATACCTCAATGCAACGAAAGAAATACACAGTCAATCCTTATAATTAAATTCAACAACAAATACTATAGGCTTTCAACAATATTTTATTTAAACACAATCAAATTCATCGAAACAGATATATTTGTTACCACCGATTAACATTTTCGGTGTAAGAATTCAGTAATGGCGTGACATGACTCAGGTGACTCATTTACATAAAATGACACTTCTACCAAACCATTAGCCAATCAGCATAGAGCACCCCCAAACAGCTGTCAATCAACCAAGCTAACATCGGGTAGCTTAATCAGAGCGAACAACACAACGTGGCGCTGTTCCGTAACGGCAAAGTTTCAAGTTCAAACATTTGAATTATTACCAGCTTAACTGAAAGACACAGTTTGAAAAGTGAGAATTGGAAATGAAGCCCGATGACATGAAGTTAGTGGAACTGAGATTGTTAGTGGCAGCAGTTTTTAGCAAGTGGAAAGGGGCTGTGATGTGACTGGGATTGCGATGCCATGAACTGATGTTCCAACATGCGCATGCTCTTGTCGGCGTTACAATGGCGGAAAGCGTCCTCGCTAATTCTTAGTTTTTGAGTAGTCGTTGTGTGGCGACTATAACTACGCATACGGAACTTTCATTCCTATGGCCACTCATAAACATTATGTGACAAAGTTCAAAGCCAGCGTCACTCATGGCTTGGATTGCTGTGGCGCTGAAGGCAATGAGCAGTGTATGACTGACTACATTGGGCATTGCGACATATGTCAGACATGAAACGAGTGAACTGGTATTTTTTGACTGGGGTTGCTGTATACCAAATGTTGTGTGCGTCTGGAGAATTAAGTGCATCTTTATTACAGTGCGAAAAAAGTGATCCGGCATTTGGGTCACTTTTGTCAAGGAGCTGGCGAAGTGCATTGACGGGACATTGGGTTATATCATTCGTCGCGTATACATGTATTCGTTTTCGGCTTTGCGCTTCATCGCTGCTGAGAC